TGCGCACTCACTAATACTAGAAAATACCCTACAAACCCTTATATAGTATATGTATATAAACCATATGCACTGTCGCCGTGGAAAATCGAAAGATTTTCCCAACCTCCCCTTTGAAACACATATGCACACGCACCTGCTTTCTGTTGTTATTGTTGTTCTTTTTCCAGCTCCTTTGTGATAACACACACATATATACAGGCACGACAACAACATTCACAAGCAGCCACAGAGAAAAAAAAAGGCGCACGCACACGAACGCGCCGCCGCTTTTGTGTATTGGTGTGTTTGCCCCTGCGCCGAAAATTTTGTGTGGCGTTTATTTATTATCACACTGCACATGCGAATATTCCGTGCATTTTACATTTGCGCACTGCCGTTTCGCCGCCGACGCTCCGGAATTTCCCGCTCGCGAGGTATCACTGTATGCCCGTCAGTTTGGTAGGTTTTAAACTGGGGAAAATGCAGGGAACTTGGCGTTTAAAACCTACTTTTAGCTTCGTTTTCACGAGAAAACGGGTCTAAAATATGTCATAAAATATACTAAACATATACATACATACAGGGTTAAAATAGTGTGGCCAGGTTTTGTTCGTTCAAAAGACCACGGCTTAGCGAGTATTTACGTTACCCTTTTTAACGTATTTTTGTACTTCAAATGTGCCTATTCACACAGGGGGTTTTTCTGCAACAGCGACCCATTTCTGCAATAGTGCCTTAAGTGTGATTTGTGTGCTGTACATGTCCTGAAATACCAACAGAAATTAGTATATTTAAAGTATTCAGGTGATATTTACTTGGCACTTTTGGGATTTTTTGGCGAACGAGGTGGGCTAATATCAATTTTACTGGCGGGAAAATTAAATTTCACTTTCGCTACTTCTTCTTTTTCGGGTTGCTTGTTTCTTAGATTTGCTGTTTCAACAGCGGGTTCCTGTATGCATTGGCCGCAACAACTTTTCTGCAACAACTTTTTAAAGCGGCTTTGGGAAGACCGTATTACCAACCGATATCAGGGCGCGTGACCTATCGTGTTAATAATCGATAACACATGACAAATCACGCAGTTGAACACTGAGCGGTCACACTAAGGAGAACAGAAAAATTACAAAATGATGGCCACATTAATGGCGACCTTCCCGCCCACTCATTATTTAAATAAATAAATATGCCATGTGAAAAAAGATTAATGAATGAGTAACTGTAAGTGTTAACATTGCTATTATGAGAAAAAAAGAGACATGTTTATGTATCTTTACTTTTTTCCAATTTTGTGTTAACTCTATATAAGTTGTGGTTTGCTTAAAGAAAATCAGAAACTTTCTTAAAAAATGAATTAAATTAAAAGAAAATGTTAATACTGAACGCCAAAAATTTTAATTTAAATTTAAGCTAACACGAAACTAAAGGGAACATTATTAAACTAAAAAGTTCTTTTAGTTTTTAACGAGCTGAAAAAGAATTAATTATTAATAGCAGCCTTGTAGCATATAATGTAAATGGGGTTGCAATTGACATAGACTTTGTAGAACAAATAAAATAATTATATAGTTTGGGTAAACGATTAAAACAAGAAAAGTATATTTCAAAATAATATTATTTTAAAGAGGCTCAACGATGAATTATATTTTATATATTAATATAATATCCCAAAGTATCAATATTAATATTGATTGAGTACAGTTTTAAGTCAAATTAGACAACAATTTAGAAACAAACCACGGGAACATTTACTTAAACGGGATATCAAGAAAACACAAATATCAATACAGAAATATTAATATAAAGATATATATAAGATAAGATATATAAAGATATATGTATATCTTCTCAGCTTGCTTATTTAATTTTGCTGCGTTTATTCACATTTAAAATTTGCATATTAACACCACTTTCAAAACAAACCAGAAAAAAAGATGTAAACGAAACGTTATCAGTTTAATCCAGAATAACCAAGGACATATATATCCCAGTCAGTTGAGCTGCAATCACACGTAAGCCCTTCACAAGGCAGCTAGCAATATTTAAACAAAAGTCAGCTAGTCACGCCAAATGAAAAACTGACATACAATTAACTTCACTTTCTCAGATGCGGCAAAACCAATATTCACTTAACTCAAAAGCAAACAAAAAAAAAAGGATTAGGATAGGGATAAGAAATCCTGGAGCGACTGCTAAGCTGCGACGACCGGAGGCGACTAACTTCTGTGCATCGAAATGTCTGGGTTTTTAAGCCCAGTGGGGGCACCCACACAACAATATACATTATTAGGATGTATATAGGCGATAATAAGAATCGTTCTTCGTAGCACAGATTGCCCGCATGCAAAAACCGAATAACTTCTATTATATAAAAAGAAACCACAGGCTGGATGGGCTCTTATCGCCGAGAATTGAGAAACGAGGCTTGTGGTGCTGTTGTACGGGTATGGTCTCGGGATTTATCTGGGCCTTGGATTTTGCTTATGCCTTATCCGAGCAAGTGGTGCCGGAACTCTACCCCATCCGTCTTATCGCTTCTGAAGAATCACGACTGGCAGTGATCTTGAATTCCTCATTCAATCCCACTTGGCGACTGGATATAATTCGAATTTGGGTCAACGTGGAGCAGGGCACTTCCGTTGTTGGAAATGTGACAGAGCACCAGTTGGCGAATGCTAAACTAAAGTGTGACTAAAATTCAGTTCAACGAAATTACAAACTGGGAATACAAGATATAAGTAAATAAGGATTTTTTGGAATATATATAATTTTTGTGTCACAGATATTCTTAATAAATTATAGTGTACAGTCGCACAATTCGCACAATTCCTTTAAATAATATTTAATTTGATGAGTTGATAAATTACTACAAAAGTCTTTTATAATATGTTGAAATAGACTCTGTACTTTTTCTTAACAAATTTCAGTTTCTTTATGAAAATATAGAAAGATTTGAATGTATATTTAAATACATTTTAAAACGTATGTTATGCCAAGCAATGAAATAGGTAATAAGCTGTTAAAATTTGTAGTTTCAAAATGTAATTCCTGAAAACCACAGCAATTTAGACACTAAGTACTGTTTTAAGGTCTGTTTAACCATTATATCACTTGCAATGTGTGGTTGAGACACTCTTATTGGTTGTCACTCACTCCACTTTACACCTTTACATGTTCAAGGTCCTCCGATGCACACACACACCGCCCTCTTCTCAGCCGCCTGCTAACTGCTTACCACCCAAGGTCACGCGTTTTATGTGATATATATGCACTATAAAGTGGCCGACCCGCTTTAACTGCCCAAACGTAACCGCAAAAGTTTGATTGGGTTTTAAGTCGTTTAAGGATTAACGTAACGTAACGTATATTGTAGAAAACGCCGGCCGGTGGCGGTGACAAAAATGCAGCGCAGTTTCAAAACAAAACTTTGTTTTTATTTTTATTTTTTTTTGTTTGGGTCCCCTGTTTACTCTTGGGTAATCGGTGTTTGGGGCTTTCGGTCCTCGGTTCTTGGTTCTCGGTTTTCGTTTCTTGGTCCTTGGTCGTCGTGGCGTGTTGCAAGTTGCTGGAATGCCCGTGTGCCACTGGCAGCCAACTTTCGGCGACGTTTGCCGCCAATCGACCCGCCAGCCAGTCATCCACAAACACACAATTGCTATCCACTATGCTATACTATGCACTATACACTAGCCACTGACCCACCACCCCCCAGGCACCACCCACCGAACCACCGCCCAATGACCCATCGCAGTGCCAAAAGGAAAACACTACAACTGTAGTACTGGTAGTACGGTAGTACTACGGCTCACACAAACAAACTCGTGTTATGGTGTGCACTGTACACAGTTCTCATGGCGAATACGCAACGTGGACACAAGTGCGCCTGCGTCTGTTTTGATATGAAAAAGACATTGTCCTCTTCGCAGTTTTTTTTCAGCTTACGAGGATTGATGGGCTACGCAGGATGGACTGGGCTTATAGGTTCCAATAGGAAAAACAATAATATTTATTAATTGCTTATATGATTAGCTTAGCTTAATAAAATTTGATTCATTGCAGCAATTTTATAAAGGTTCTACGATATTTTTACTAGTAAATTTTTTGTTTTTATCACTTAAAACAAACCCAGAAACCCAAACTAAAAATGCGTCATTGCATGATTAATTAAGATAGAAAATCCATATTCCAGTACTACGAATTTCGTCCGGAAAGGGACCCAATTTTGGTGATATGCGTCATAAAGTGTGACTCAAGACTTAAGACTCATGAATAAGGAATTTGTGGTTTAATAAGCAAAAATTATGTACTAATTTTACTTATTTTATATGCAAATTTTTGTCCTTTAAATATTATACGCATAAAAGGTGCAATATAGTTGTTACATTTTTGGAATAGCTGCATCCCTAACGTTAAAATTTGTTCGATTATTTCATAAGATTTCCGGTACAAAAATTATTTGTGCATTATTTCAACGACAATTCAGACACCTATAAATTTATATTAAACGAAACGAAAGTCTAATTAAATATTACCAATAAATAAATAATACGATTTATAAAACTAAATACAAAATATTTTGAAATAAGCTTCAAGACATATTCAGTCAATTAATGCATTGACATTAACAACAAAAACAAAACAAAAATAGTTTATAATTTTACAGGGCATTTCCACAGTCCTTTAAGCCGAATTATTATTGTTGTGCTACCTTTATCCTTGGTCCTCTTTTCCCGTACATTTCACGCTCATTTGTTTGGCCTTGCATCGAATTGAATTGCCGATTACAGGCATCATTGATTATTGAAACCGATTTGCCACGCCCCCTCCCCCCACGCCGTCAGGTCCTTCGCCTCTAAAATTGGCAGTGTCTAGGCCAAGTAAAGTGGGGATTCCAAGGCCATGGATTCAAATTGATAACGGTGGCAGGCAAACATGAGCTTTAAGCTGCTTGCCGAATCAGCAAACTTTCGCGGGATGAAAAACACAATAGAAACTTTTAAGCACAAAAAAATTTACTCGCCCTTGCATTTATTTCCGGTTCTTGTCTCTTCGCTTTTATCAATTACATTTATAAATATTCATTATGTTTATGTATGTATATAGTATATGCATATATGTATTGCCGCATGTAAATATTCATATTAATATATATATTTATTTTGTAAGATATCTGGTCTAGGAACCAAATTCACATTCAAAGAGAATTAGGGATTGGGGATCAGGATTTGGGATATGCGATTGGGTGCAGATACAACCTTAATCGCTAATCCGGAAAAAGGGGGTACTGATTCGGGGTTATCCTACATAAGGCTTAGTGTTCATTTCCACAAAAATACCGGTTTGAAGCAATTATATTGATGTTTAAATTTTTTTTATCATAATGCCTCAAATATGTTAAAAACACCCTTAGGAATAAACATTACTATTTATTTCCAGTGGTGTGTTTTGATATTTCTTTTGTGAACATGAACACTGATCCTTAGCAGTAAATACCGACGAACGATTGGAATCGCTAACACCTTAATCAATTCTACGTGGCTTTGCTTTCGTATTTTTGTTAACTAACGCACTGTGTCCTCGAACTGAAATGCATATAAACTTAATTTTTAATTTCGAAATCCTTCCCGAGGTGAACAATTATATCCTTGGGGATTGGCCACAGTGCGCCGCCTAACTAAATCAATTGTAATGCGAGTTATTCTACGTAATGCTCACACTCATACCCGTATTTCTAGGTACCATAATGACAGATCTACTCACTTACATACGATTCTTTATCTTTTGGGTGTTTTTCGTTTTGGCCAATTTAATGATATTTAAAGTTTAAACTCTTGCCAGCAAATCCTACTTGAGCAACAGGGCTGCTATATAGACATTTAATATTCTGATATTTAATCGGGTTTAAACATAACAGACGAAACAGACAAATCTATTAGCCAGCAAGTGCTTAAAGGACTTTGGCCTGCCAAAGATCAAATTTAAATTGTATTTAAAACAACCACTGATACACACACACAGATATATACGCAGATATATACTTGATATTGTACGATTTGCTGGAATTAAATAATTACATAAATTCTTTAAAGTTTTCATTTCATTTGAAACACATCAATATTTGCCCTCGTATTTTCTCAAGATTTCCGTTTAGTATTCATATTCGCATAGTAATTCGGTATATTAGTATTCTGAAGTATTTCTTGTAGCAATACGTATAACTATTATCGTATAAATATAACACTCTGTTTTGCTTTTGCTTTCGGCTTTTCTTGGGATTGAATGCGGGTAAATATTTTATTGTACCGCAAATAAATTACGTGTGATGTCCATGTATGCAATATAATAGCTGCGTTTCACTTTGGCCCGTTTTTCGTTCTGTATCTCAAAATTAACTCTATAACACGACTATTCATTTCATACCATCATAACATCTTCATATATGTATATTTTAATCGATCTATACTCGTATTCATTATTTGCATTTGCATTTGCTTTTGTCTTTGTCTTATTCTTTGGTGTTTTCATTGCGTTTTCAATCTTAACCATTTGTTTTTCAATCTTTTTGCCTGGCATTAACCAACACTACTAGCTAACCGTAAACGGGGAAAAAAATGAAAATACAAACTAAATGTACACTCATTACGTTTCTACAGATAGGTCCTAGGTAATCCCTTGCCAATCGGAGAGATGCTTCTTAACTATGCATTTGCTTTCGGTTTCTGTCTCAGCTTTCACTTTCCCTTCTCAACACTGGTAACCGTTCCAGCACTGGCGCCTATCGACCTATTGTCTACAAAAATATGTCATTGCTGTCTTAAGGTACACGGGCCGGTTCTAAATGCTCGCTACACGGGTTATCTATACACAATATATATATATATATACATATATATATATATAACCTGTACTGTCGGAAAAAGGAATCTGTAACTAGACACACACACACACAACAATCGAGCTAAAGTTACACATCGAGACATATATAAAAGAATGCTTTTTGCCTCGATTTTGGGACTTTATAGTTTCTGTATTTTTATCTGAGTAAATTATAGAGCTGTCTAACGATTCGATATTCTCTACCACAATATATCCATTCCATTTATAGGTATGCTGAGAGCTGAGTTTGAGAAACCAGAGGCTTTGAGATAAAGGTACTAAAGTTATTGGAGCGATTATAGCAAGAGAGAGGTACATTTGAGTCGAGATTGCTCTAAAATAGTGCGGGTCGATAGATGCAAAAAGTTGAATAATCATACAAAGGGAAATCTAATCTTTGGTTCCGTCTTATTTCCTTTTTAGTTGGCCTTTTTACCTTTGCCACAGAAATCTTTAGAGATTAAAACCACATCAGAACGTGTCTAAAAGTACATTGTTAAATACAACAAGTAGTCTTAAGACATCCGAGCTAAAAATTTACTTTTAAACAAATTTATAAGTTACTTACAATATCTAGAGATTTTTGTATTTTGTATTTTAATATAAGGAAAATCTATTTTTATAAAAGCCAAGTGATATATTCAGACAAACATTCCCTGTTTGATTCAAAGATTAGACTCCCTTTCTAGAATTTTCATCAGAAAAGAATCGACCCTATCTATTTACCTTATACTTGTCGTTTTTGGTAATTGGTTTACATTAAAGTAAGCCCCATTTTGTTATACATTATTGGAGAAGTATTGAAAACCGTTTTGTAGGAGACCGTTTTAGGTAATGTTATGTTTTTGTTTTTTTTTTTCATTTTGTGTAGCTGCCGTGATGCGAATTTCGAATCCCCGGATTCCGATGCCAATTTCGATTCCGAATCCGCTCCTTTAGGAGATGCTGCATGAGTTGCGCTTGGCGCCCAAACTCCGCTCCTGGATTCGCTGGAGGTGCTGCAGCTGGGCAGGAGTGGGGGCATGGGATCCGCCGCCGGAGGAAGCCGCCGCCGCCGCTGCAGCGGCCGCTGAAGTTGAGGCGGAGGAGCCAGCGCCGGAATTGTGGTGGTGCTGCTGCGACTGGTGGTGGTGGCTGTGGTGCTGATGGTGGTGCAGCGGGGTGCCCGGCCCGTTGTTGCCAATCTGCTGCGGCAACGACTGGCGACGACGACGCAGGGCCGGACTCAGATTGTAGGTGATCTTGGCCTGGGCCAGCAGCTCCTTGAACACCTGAAATTCAAGCTTTAAAACTCTGAGCGGCTCGATCAATAGGTGGCCTTATTCACCTGAGTGATGTTCTCGTTGCTGGCAGCCGAGGCCTCTACAAACCCATTCTCCCAGTCCACGGTGACCACCGACTCTGTGGTGGCGTACTCAACCTGCAGGAAAAAATGGTAAAGTTACAATACATTATAAAAATAATTATTAAATAAAGTTATATAAGAGAAAATGTAGTGTTATTTGTTTATTCACAGTCAGAATTTAAAAAAAAACCAACTTACCAACCAACTTAAAAAATAGTTGATTTTTTTTTATTTTAATGCAAAAAAAAAATTTAACGGGCAACATTTTTCCCACTCGACGATCACATTATTAATTCATTTCGCATAAATCTAACCACCCACACATACCCAACTAAAAATCAATTTAACCCCACACCATCAAAGTGAACATGAACTTTATTATTTCTTATCGGCAACGAAAATCCTTATAGACGTCTAAATTGCGGTGATAAACGAGAAAAAAAATGGCAACAAAAAATTGCAAAAAAAAGGAAGGTAAAAAGGGCAGGGTCTTAAGTTGGGGATTGAAATGTGCTGACTTCGAACCAAACAAAACCAAACCAAAGCAAACCGAACATCGGGGCTTAATTCTTCCAAATGAACAAACTCAAAGAGCGACAGTGAACAACTACAACAACAAAAGGGCAAGTGAACCCCAACCGAATTTAGACCCTTTCCCCCCAAGCAAACTCCCCCCACCCCAAGGTTTAAAGCGGCCTATCCCAAAAAATACAACAAGGAGCCAAGTAACACAAATGCGACAACAAAAAGTTGATTTCGCTTCGTTGAACAAAAAAATACAAAAAAAAAGGAGTATTCAAATGAAGAAAATGCACAAAAAGAACAAATTTAGATATGATAATATAACCTTTGTTAGTGTGTTAATTATAATTTATCATCAGTTAAATAAATTATATTTCTTTTATTATTATTAACAGGAAACTAATTTTATTTAAATTAAGCCAAATAAATTTTCATAGGATAACATTGGTTTTCAAACTTTGGAAGCGATATAAAATAGTTTTTGATTAGAGAGAAAATAGGTAGGGGAAATAATTATAAAATTCAAATATTAAAACCATATGAAAAAAGTGAGTGTATATAGTTAATTGTCATGCAAAATATCAAAGTTATGCATATTAAGCTGGTTTTCTTTTCTGTGTAAGGTGAGTTTGTTAGGCAGGAATACTGAGGGGTTACCAGAGGCTAAGCCAAGGAGCGCGACAGTCTGGCGTTTGCTGGCAATTTGCATTTTTATTATATCAGAACTCGGTTAAAGTCAATATACCCAAAGGACGAAAAAAGTGGTTTCGAGCGGCAAGCAGTGTCTGCTGGTAAAAATCAAGCAGTGTAGATTCCCCCAAACTACTTATGCATAACTACGTAAAGAATGGACAGAAAAAACGCACCAAATAAGTGACAAATAAAGCAAACGAAAAATAACAAAGCAGGGCAGAGAAAGATAAACAAAGTTAAATTAAAATTTATAAAGCTCCAAATGAAGTTGACCAACTGTGACTGTCGCCAGCAAAAAAAGGAAACGAGTAAAAAAGGCAAAGGGATTTTCAATTGACAAATATATAACAGAGAAAAAACCAAAGCAAAGTAACGATCATAAAACTTCTTTAATATTTCAAAAGTGAAACAAAATCAATTGTGTTAAAACAATACAAAATATAACTTGATTTTTGATACAAATTTTTGTTAATAATTTTTTGATGCCCATAAATGGTACTACCATTACAAATCACAATTAAATTAAAATATAGATTTTAATATAGATTTTACAATTTGTACACAGTCAAATTGAATAGTAGGTATGGTTTACAAGTTCCCTATTTTACGTAAAAGTCATTTTCTTTGATATGATGCAACTAAAATTACCATAAATTAGACCGGTAAACTTTCCACATTTCGGTTGAACAACTCAAATTTCCGGTTCCATTTCGGTTTTTCGCATTTCAGTGCCCCGTTTTCGCTTTCAAGTTTTGACAATCAAAGCGGAGTTTTCCCTTTTGCACTTTTCCGCCGCAAACTTTCCCGGGCCATATTCGTACCTTTTTTGTGTGTGTGTGTTTTCCTTTAGTTTTTATGCCCGGAATTTATTAGAATCACTTTGGTGTGGGGCCCGGAGGCCAGAAATTGAGCAAAGAAACTTATACAGGGGCGAATTTCTCCGGCCAAATGATGCTCACTTAAGATATGCAAAGTACTTCGACTTCGGCCGGGTCGAATTTCGCATCAGCTCGCTGGTTATTATTATTATAACATTTAAGGTTCTCTTTTATTCGAGATTATTTTATTCCCGTGGCGGCTGATTGCGCGCAAAAGTTCGCTTCGTGGGGCAAACAAACAATGGAATTGCAGTATATAGTTGCGTTTTTTTACCCTTGCAGAGGGTATTGTAATTTCAGTCAGAAGTTTGCAACGCAGTGAAGGAGACATCTCCGACCCTAAAAAGTATATATATTCTATTCGATTGGAAATTTTATTACGAATTCAACGGTGTATGACATTCCACATTTTGACCATTATTTCCCAGAGTTTTGACACAAAAACCAAATTTTTAATGGGATTTTTGTCGATTTTTCAAACAAAATAATTTCTGAAGAGTCTTTTTATTGTAACTTTGCCAAAATAAGACCCAAAGTCAAAAGAGATACAATTTAACAGCTGGCAGCCTATACCATCCGTCCCTGATCGATTTAAAACAATTAATTTTGTTTTGACACAAAAACAGAATTTAGAAAAACGTTTTTTGATCAATTTATTTTCGTCCTAATTTCTGACTTTTTTGTAAGGGGGTACATCATCATTTTTTGCAGAAATTCGAAAATCTGAAAAAATTTTAACTTTGAATGCAATTTGATTGGAAATTTTATTACGAGTTCAACGGTGTATGACATTCCACATTTTGGACATTATTTCCCTAAGTTTTGATACAAAAACCAAGTTTTTAATGTGTTTTTTTGGGATTTTTGCCGATTTTTCAAACAAAATAATTTTTAAAGAGTCTTTTTGTTGTAACTTTGCCAAAATAAGACCCAAAGTCAAAAGAGTTGCTATTTTGAACAGTTGGCAATCCATACCATCCATCCCTGATCGATTGAAAACAATTAATTCAGCTTTGACGCAAAAACCGAATTCTGAAAAACATTTTTTGAACAATTTATTTATGTCCAAATTTCTGACTTTTTTGTAAGGGGGTACATCATCATTTTTTGCAGAAATTCGAAAATCTGAAAAAATTTTAACTTTGAATGCAATTTGATTGGAAATTTTATTACGAATTCAACGGTGTATGACATTCCACATTTTGGACATTATTTCCCTAAGTTTTGATACAAAAACCAAGTTTTTAATGTGTTTTTTTGGGATTTTTGCCGATTTTTCAAACAAAATAATTTCTAAAGAGTCTTTTTGTTGTAACTTTGCCAAAATAAGACCCAAAGTCAAAAGAGTTGCTATTTTGAACAGCTGGCAACCCATACCATCCATCCCTGATCGATTTAAAACAATTAATTTTGTTTTGACACAAAAACAGAATTTAGAAAAACGTTTTTTGATCAATTTATTTTCGTCCTAATTTCTGACTTTTTTGTAAGGGGGTACATCATCATTTTTTGCAGAAATTCGAAAATCTGAAAAAATTTTAACTTTGAATGCAATTTGATTGGAAATTTTATTACGAATTCAACGGTGTATGACATTCCACATTTTGGACATTATTTCCCTAAGTTTTGATACAAAAACCAAGTTTTTAATGTGTTTTTTTGGGATTTTTGCCGATTTTTCAAACAAAATAATTTCTAAAGAGTCTTTTTGTTGTAACTTTGCCAAAATAAGACCCAAAGTCAAAAGAGTTGCTATTTTGAACAGTTGGCAATCCATACCATCCATCCCTGATCGATTGAAAACAATTAATTCAGCTTTGACGCAAAAACCGAATTCTGAAAAACATTTTTTGAACAATTTATTTATGTTCAAATTTCTGACTTTTTTGTAAGGGGGTACATCATCATTTTTTGCAGAAATTCGAAAATCTGAAAAAATTTTAACTTTGAATGCAATTTGATTGGAAATTTTATTACGAATTCAACGGTGTATGACATTCCACATTTTGGACATTATTTCCCTAAGTTTTGATACAAAAACCAAGTTTTTAATGTGTTTTTTTTGGGATTTTTGCCGATTTTTCAAACAAAATAATTTCTAAAGAGTCTTTTTGTTGTAACTTTGCCAAAATAAGACCCAAAGTCAAAAGAGTTGCTATTTTGAACAGCTGGCAACCCATACCATCCATCCCTGATCGATTGAAAACAATTAATTCAGCTTTGACGCTAAAACCGAGTTCTGAAAAACGTTTTTTGAACAATTTATTTATGTCCAAATTTCTGACTTTTTTGTAAGGGGGTACATCATCATTTTTGCAGAAATTCGAAAATCTGAAAAAATTTTAACTTTGAATGCCATTTGATTGGAAATTTTTTTACGAATTCAACGGTGTATGACATTCCACATTTTGACCATTATTTCCCTAAGTTTTGATACAAAAACCAAGTTTTTAACGTGTTTTTTTGGGATTTTTGCCGATTTTTCAAACAAAATAATTTCTAAAGAGTCTTTTTGTTGTAACTTTGCCAAAATAAGACCCAAAGTCAAAAGAGTTGCTATTTTGAACAGTTGGCAACTTATACCATCCGTCCCTGATCGATTTAAAACAATTAATTTTGTTTTGACACAAAAACAGAATTTAGAAAAACGTTTTTTAAAAAAATAATTTTTGTCCAAATTTCTGACTTTTTTGTAAGGGGGTACATCATCATTTTTTGCAGAAATTCGAAAATCTGAAAAAATTTTAACTTTGAATGCAATTTGATTGAAAATTTTATTACGAATTCAACGGTGTATGACATTCCACATTTTGGACATTATTTCCCTAAGTTTTGATACAAAAACCAAGTTTTTAATGTGTTTTTTTGGGATTTTTGCCGATTTTTCAAACAAAATAATTTCTAAAGAGTCTTTTTGTTGTAACTTTGCCAAAATAAGACCCAAAGTCAAAAGAGTTGCTATTTTGAACAGCTGGCAACCCATACCATCCATCCCTGATCGATTGAAAACAAATAATTCAGCTTTGACGCTAAAACCGAATTCTGAAAAACGTTTTTTGAACAATTTATTTATGTCCAAATTTCTGACTTTTTTGTAAGGGGGTACATCATCATTTTTGCAGAAATTCGAGAATCTGAAAAAATTTTAACTTTGAATGCCATTTGATTGGAAATTTTTTTACGAATTCAACGGTGTATGACATTCCACATTTTGACCATTATTTCCCTAAGTTTTGATACAAAAACCAAGTTTTTAATGTGTTTTTTTGGGATTTTTGCCGATTTTTCAAACAAAATAATTTCTAAAGAGTCTTTTTGTTGTAACTTTGCCAAAATAAGACCCAAAGTCAAAAGAGTTGCTATTTTGAATAGCTGGCAACCCATACCATCCATCCCTGATCGATTGAAAACAATTAATTCAGCTTTGACGCAAAAACCGAATTCTGAAAAACGTTTTTTGAACAATTTATTTATGTCCAAATTTCTGACTTTTTTGTAAGGGGGTACATCATCATTTTTTGCAGAAATTCGAAAATCTGAAAAAATTTTAACTTTGAATGCCATTTGATTGGAAATTTTATTACGAATTCAACGGTGTATAACATTCCACATTTTGACCATTATTTCCCAGGGTTTTGACACAAAAACCAAGTATTTAATGTGTTTTTTTGGGATTTTTGTCGATTTTTTTACCCTTGCAGAGGGTATTATAATTTCAGTCAGAAGTTTCCAACGCAGTGAAGGAGACATCTCCGACCCTATAAAGTATATATATTCTTGATCAGCATAATTCGGAGAGTCGATCTACATGTCCTCCTGTCCGTCCGTCCGTCCGTCTGTCCGTCTGTCTTGCCGAAGTTTGCTTTCTTTCTTGTTTGTGTTGTGGTTGCTTTCAGTTATTCAACGTATACGAGCTTATAAATATATCGTTATGGCGATGACCCACAGTAAACCTTTGTTCCCGCAGTTATTCAACGGAAAAGGAACACAGCTTGAATCATGGGGCTTTGGATTCCCTCAATTTAATATTTATAAGCCTATACACTTTCAATCATTTATAAGACTACAAGTGTAATGTTGTTGGGGATCGCATTTCTAATTGGCTGTCACTGTGTTCCCATTCAAATGAATCGCATTCCCCATTTCATTCGTTTCCCTGCCATTGGCATTTTCCTTATTTTTTGTCTGTCAAATTCTTGCAGCTCGTTTCTTTTGGTTAAATTTGCAATGCAGCTGACAGCAAAAGTTCTGCAACGCGCAGGGGAAAGGGGGGGGTAGGGCACCGCAGCTGCAGTTCTTATGATGCCCGCCGGCTGCTTTCTACTTTCTTCTTGTACATGCCCCTTGCCTCAAATTTCCCTGAATGTTGCGTACTTTTCACTAATTATGCAAAAGCTGCCAAGGGTGGAGGAAAGGAGCGGCACAGCAAGAAACATCATAAAAGATTAATACGAGAGCCCGTTACGAACAATTATCTTGGTTCAAGTTTTATAAATTTCATAGTTTGAAAAATTGTCAGACATAATTATTTTAAATTGTTTTATAGAAACAACGAAAATATAAGTTAAATAGATGATGACATTATAAAAGATACCACAATAGAAAATATTATTTGAAAATGTATACAATACAATTATCTTTGCTATGGCTTTATATTCATATTTAATGCCACAGTTTGTTTGCAGTGTAGCCACACTTGATGGCATTTCATTTTGTGTGACTTTCGCGCATAGTTTGCACTTTATTCCACGAGTCTGTCTGTTCGTCTGTGTAATATTATGTTGCATCCCCCTCTGCTGCCACGCCCCTCTCATTTGCACCGCCCCCCCACACACACCGACCACTTTGACATTTTAAATGTTCCATTTTTTGTTGCCTCTGACATCCGAAACAGCTGGGCAGTGTTTTATGTCCTTTGGCTGCTGTTAAACTGTAGACACAAATAAAGTGAATAGAGTGCATAAAGTGAGTGCTCATATTGAAAATACAGTGTTTGCACTGGGCTCATCGTTTCGGATTTTCGACGCGCCTGGTTGACAAAAGAAAACAAAAATTCTGACAAATTGTTTAACTGACTTTCTTTTAGCACCCCATGCTCCATGGTGCCTGCCAGTTGGGAAAACTTTTGATTAAACTGTTTGTCCTTTTTTCCATTTTCCATTTTCCACCCACCCTCCCGTTTTGCGCGCTTGACAAACTTTACATAATTGCTAAAACGCCTCGTATCCCGTTGCCAAAAAAGCAATTTTCATGGGATGAGGGGGCGTGGCAAGAGGCAAGTGGCACAATGGGAGCGGTTATTGTATAAACACGCCTTCGAGCAATTGCCACAGTGAAGAGACAACAATCAAAGCGGTTACACTTTCCCCTTTTCGGATGAATGGCAATTAAAATTGATGCAAATTAGCAGACAGGCTACAAATGACCTCTGTGTGTCCTCTGGACCCAGGACCAAAGATTTGGTTGATGAATAAATGATTCAATTTATCATATATGCCTGTTAAAAAATTAAATTTTTAATTATTAAAATATATGTTCTAAAGTTATCGTGACTTTTCTTGTTAGAAATGAATTTTAGATAACAATTCTATAGAATTCGCGATTTTATTTTGTGTTGTGGCTTTATTTATTAAACAAACAAATATACTAGAGAGAATAATGTTGGTTTCTCTTGCCTGTAAGTATTCACGGTTTTGTATTTTTAAAAGATTTCATTAAATTGCATTAAAATCAATGCACTTAATAATTCGCATTCTAACAAAAAATAATTTGTCTTCCTGAAAATGATACAAATATAAATAAGCTTTAAGTACTCACCTCACGTTCGGTTTCTCCATCGGCCAAAAGGTCAATCTTGTTGCCAACCACCACAATTGGCACTGCGGTGGTGGCCTTCGTCTCGTGGATCTGGTCGCGAATTGTGCGCACCTCCTCGAAAGTGGTGGCGTCGGTGACGTCGTAGACCAGGATAAAAGCATCCGCCGAGGATATGGAAAGAGCACGCATCGCCGGAAACTAAAGAAATAAAGAAAAGAGCATTTTATTTAATTATCACCTATGTAAAATATGTTATAAGAATTTGAAAGTGTGCAATGTCTTAAAGGTGGTAAGATATTTTGATAAATGTGAACAAGCCCAAGTTGTCACGGCAATGTAAACTGAAACTTATAAATAAATTAATTTCACAGTCTTCGCTAACTTGTCAAACTAACTACAAATCGAAATTATAAAGGTGGAAATGTTTTACTGTTGTGTGGCATTATCTATTTATTAACAGCATTTGTGATTAATGGCATTTGCATTTGCATTGCATTTGCCCTGGAGTTTTATTTTCAATTAACTGTTTTTAACTTAACTGTCACAACAATTTCAGTTGTAAAAGTGATATAGAGCAAATGATTTAATTGGAATCTTTCACATGGCTAATTTGACACATTTTGGAAATGAATTTGCAGCAAAATATCAATGTCAAAATAATAAAGAGCTATTTCAGTAACTTGTCAATGAAATTTAATTAGAGAAATATTTATTTAGCCACTTGGAAAAATACACTTTATTACAGTTCAAAAATTTAACAATTTATGCATTGGCGTTTGCAAAAAAGTACCACATAAACATCAAAGAAATGCCGGACAGTGAAATGCTGTCATGAATTTAAATGTGATTTCTTTTTATCAAGCAAACATCCATAATATTTGATTTCTCTAAGGTGTCACAGTATTAAAAAATATTGTATGTGTTTCGTGTGGTTATAAATTAGTTGTTTATTGTATAAACAATAAGTTAAAAACGTGGAGATTAAACAAATTAACTAAAACAAAGACAATAATTTAATCGTAAAATATAAATAAAATAATGCTTTATGCATGAGCTTATTACGTTCAATTTTTATATTTAAATTGTATAACTGTCTGCCGGGTGAATAAATTTCCATACAGAATGGGAAAATGCGTGGCCAGAAAAATGAGTTAAAGTGTTTAACAAGGAATGTAAATTACAGCAACAGCAGTCATCAACGACAATTGTTTCCTCAGTGATAATTTGCATATTATTACTGTCACACACATGCACACACGCACATATTTGAATAATCACGGATAATAATGTAAATTTTTGAGTTCTATGCCCGTTAAACATTTTCACACTTTTCACAATTTTCCCTCAAGTGGAAGAAAAAAACGAAAAAAAAATTGAATCTCTCTGTTGTGAGCGAGTGTGCATAATTTTCTAATATTCCCGCCAACGAGCTGAACATTTTTCCAAAAGAACTTGCTGCAAAATTAGCGAAATATTCACACGAAAGTGCTTACGCATCGCAGCGCTTTAAAGTGAATCGTTTTCCCCGTTTTTCAGCTTTGCCAAAGCGGTTTTTTGTTATACTACATAGTTTTGGCCTCCAGCCATGTCGCAATATTTTAATAAAGTCGCAAAAGCGAACTGAATGGCGAATATTTGCAACAACAGTTTGATTTTTTGATAGCGGTCGTTGCACACTGGTCTTAAATACAAAATTTCCCGACCTTTCCTTGATTTTTTTAGAGTTTAGAACCAGATAATTGAAAAATTTTTAATTACCTCAAATAATAAATAAAATTAATAATATTTGAATATTTAAATATAAAGTGCAAAACATTTACATATTTTCTAGGCAGTTGTTCCATTAAAATACCCACTTTTGACTTGACTACTTGGAACCCATTGTGTTATAACGTTCAAAAACTACCGGATGAAAAGTATGAAAATCATTTTGCCATTAATGCATACAAACGCTTGCCGCATTTTGCAATCCTAAATTCCTTAATTAATATTTACACAAAAGTGCGCCCCTGTTTGTCTGTGGTTTAATTAAAGGTCCTTGATGGTCCCACCACTCTGACCCTGACCTCTGCCATGTGACCCCCCATTTTCCTCATTTTCCCCCTGACCTCTGACCGTCATTGCATGTTCATAATTGTGACAGGATGCCCAACCCAAAACTGAATTCTCGCATGTGTACAATTTGTGAATTGTGTTTTGAATCTTTCAAATTCCCAGAACAACTGGGAGTTCTCGACCGATTTTGGGAGTGCACAGAGCGAAAAAATTGGTTCTCTTTTGGAATCCAATATCTAAGAATTTATGGTTTCACATAAGTTAGTCTTATGAACTTTTATACGGATTTAAAAAAGTAAGATTTTTCAAATATTTATTTGTTTTCAAAATAGTGTGTCAAGTTGTTTTTTTTTGTTGAAGTAAAAATATAAAATATATATATAATTTAAGATTTCTAGTAAACGAAATACATTTAACAGTAGAAGAAAAACAATTCAACAGTAAAAAAACTGTGTATTGTGTTATTTTTTTACTTTAAAATCTGTGTCAGTTGGATTCTTTGCCGTTTAATATCAAGTCTGTGAACCCAATTTAACAAAATATCCGCCTTTGAAATCACGTGAAAGTACACAATGTTTTTTCCGTATGCCATTGCTGAATAGCAAATGAAACATAACACAAATGAAACGAATTAGAGCCACGCACACATGAGGGGTTTAAATGGGGGGACAAGCGAGAAAGCGGTGGAATGATGGCTGAGGAAAAGTCTGGGGAAAAGCGGAAAAACTGCGGCGACAGTTCACTGGCATCGTCTTCATCTCCATTCTCGTTTGTCTGACGGGCGGCAGAAACCGCAACCACAGCATTTTGGGCACAACACACATACGTTGTGCAGGGAAATGCGAATGAATGGGTGGAAAAGTGTGGGAAAATCCCGTCCAACTTGGCCCCGCCCACGCAGCACTAATGGTTTTCAAAATCATGTGCCTGCCGAGTTAGTTTTTAAATTGAGTACGCACACAGACAAGCCGGGAAAATGGCGAAAAAGAAAGGGAAATTTTGGTGGGGTAGAAGTCCGTGTTAATAAAAAGGCTTCCATTGAAATGTGCAGGCCACTGTGAATGAAAATCCAAATGAAAAACCCCAACAAGCGCAAAACAAAAAGTGAATGCCCAAGAAAAACCCTCGAAACAAAAAAATAAAAACAAAATACAAAAAACACACAATGGCCAAGTGTCGCGCAGTTCAGATAACCCAAAAAGGAGGAAAAAATGTAAGCCCTGACCTTGTACCTGAACTTGAACCTGAACTTGAGCAGGAACCCTAACCTGAATGAAAACTCTTACTTAGCAAATGGCAAGCGATTGGAAAATGCACAAACAAATTGTAATCAGGGCTAAATTAAATGACTCAGAAAGAAAGTGTAGCCTGTAAACACTTGTAACATTTCGTAACATTATTTGCAGAGCTGTTGATTTACGGCATTTAAATATGAAATGTAATCTTTTTTGTAATTTGAAAATTCAGTTTAATAGTAGAGTTTATGTTTTGCAATTAGAATCGCAATACAGCTTTCAACTTACGGTAGCATTTTAGGCAAGTGCAAGTAAGCCTGGTTATTTCTACTATTTCCACTGACCAGTTTCTAAAAAATTATGCTCAGCTTTCATCCTTTTGGCTTTGCACTTTAAGCTTTAAAAACCTGTTCGTGTGTCCTGTTCGGTTTTTTATTTTCTTTTTTTGGTGCTCCATTGAAATTTGTTTAGCTTTGCACTCGCATGCTGCTGAATCATTTTCATGTGGCAGACAATTTCCATTTTTGGGGCACTTCCCTTCTCGTGCACACTTCTTCGGTTTTCTTCCATGCTTTTTTCTTTCGTTTATGTTTCCTATCCACGGTAAAACCGATGTTTTCATCTCATCAAAAGGCAGTTGGAATTGTGTTTTTTTGTTGCTTCCATTGTTATGATAGCATATTACTGTAAATAACACGCCCAAGAAGGAAAAAGGAGTCGAATGGCAGCAAGCTCATCTTTTGACCTTGGGCTACAGAAAACTTTGCACTCCAGCATTTTGTGCATGCAATTGAGTTTCCCATTCCACATACGCCCCGTGGGCCAATTTACCTCTCCTTCAGTCGTTTTCCCACTTGTTACACATGCGACAAGTCAGGACCAACACCGCAAGGATCCTGAGCCGCTTCATGTCGTTGTCAGCTATCCTTTTACATCACTTAGCGAAAATATCATCACTTTTGGGTTGAACATTTTGAATTTTATTGATATATACTCATAAAATTAATCGAAGTTTTACGATTAAATAAAAATAAATTGATTAATATATTATAGCTTTTGTCGGAAAAGAGAAAACTACCATTATTTTTGCCAGTGTTCAGCTATTCTTTTGCACATGCCACGCTCTTGATTTCTCAATGGACTCCCAATTGTGTGACTTTTGTTTTGCCCCCCTCGATTGCGCTTTTCATTCATAGATGCCAATGGAAATTCGGAAAGCCCGACGACCTTCAATAGCAATCATTTGGCAAATATTGCAGGGGAAATGCAAATGTTTCCCCTCTGTCAGCTATCTCCAAATTGCACATTCTCTAAAATAAATTCAAGTGTGGAAACGAGGCTGCCAGAGTTTTGTCCTTTCGCCCAAAGTTAATTCACTTTTCGGCTTGCACATGGAAACGATGCCGCCCTCCTGCCCATTGCATTCACATTGACGGAAGGTAAACGAAAAGCCAAAAACACACGAGCTCAAAATGCACTTAGTTGATTCGGCTTAAAACTGAAACAAAATGCAAAAACTTTAACTAAGTTTGGAGTTCACTAACTTGATTTACACGTGCCGTTCTGTGCGGCAAACTCAGCATTTATTGAATTTCCTTTCCTTTTTGGTGCCTTTGTCAAACAAATCTTTGTATGGGACAAAGGGGGGCTTTTTTTTTAATCGGATACAAACTATTATAACAGCTCCTGCACTAAAAGGGAAAAGGCGATTTGATATGATTTTATGATTTTTTGATATTATCTCAGGAATGCACATGCTTATCATGTTTCAACTATTTTGTACACACAAATAAAGGAACGAAAACGTACTATTAAGCTAAATTGTTCATTTTATTTTGCTAAATTCCTCTGATTGTCTTGCAAATATTTCACCAATGCAACATAAATATGCCAAAGGCAAATTATGGTTATTGATGTGTTTACTTTACCCAGCTTGTCCCCTTTTCCAGTTTTCTTTTTTCTATTTTTACTTATTTTTGCTAAAAAACAATACTCTGCAGTAAAAAAGCCGTTGTGTCTGGAAATTTGTGATAATTTTCAAACACTGTTTGGGTTAATTTGAGCTCGGCAAAACAAACAAAAAGCACTATTAAAACCACAGCCCATGCCAATGCCATTATGAACTCATAACGTTTGCGTTATTGATTGGCGACATTGAAAAGGTAAAATATGGGAAAAAGGGTGTGGAAATCCAATTACATGTCAACCTGGTTGGCAAACAATGGCCGCTTTATTTTAACATTTTTTCAGCACAATTTAATTACAATAATCAGTTTTTCGGCAAATAAGGGGTACTTCGCAGGTTGACACAAGGAGAACAAATGGTTACTTTTTGTACCATTTGGTAATTTAATCCGTTTTTGTCTGTTAGAGTTTAACTTACTTGAAAGGTAATTGAAAGTAATTTGATAGATTTAACAAATCATACACATGTGTTGTTTTACTAAGAGCCTTCCATGTCATTGAAAAGGGATTGGAAGAAAAATATAAGTATTTTCTTATTTTACAACATTCGAAATAACAAAATCAACTCAAGTTTTGCAGTGTTTTCTTTTTTTTAATGCCATTTGTATATAATTTTAAAATATTTGCAAATTGGAATTTTTGTGCAAATACCATTTGCAGCAGGTAAACAGCGGAGGTATTCGCCCTGCTTTGCCTGTAATTTTATTTGCCGCTGGCAATGCGGAACAAATATTGACCAGAAATGGGCCGGAAAAGGGGGTCGGAAAGGGGGGGTCTTAAAAGGGGTCGGATGTATGTGGTGCGGTGTGGCCTGCGGTCTGTTATCTTTTGGCACACGCAAAAATATCACTCATACGCATGGCGGAACCTTGCGGGACTAAGCCAGCGTGAAAACTATTTGGCCAAGCTACGGAATTGGAGAGTTTATGGCCCACAGCGTTGGCTTCGGTTAAAGTGCGTTTCGGTGGCCTAAATTCACGTCCGCAATTTCTACTTCCCAAAGTTTTCTCCCATTCAAAACAATGGGTTACAACTTGCTACATTTATTTGAATGTACTGCGAAAAAACCTTTAATTAGTTACTTCTTTTGAATACCATATTTAAATTACATCCTATGTCCTTTTGCATAATTTATTCCTTTTCCTCTTCAATTGTTTTACATGCACATCATTATGACCGCTTATAACTGATTTCAAAGTGGTGGAATTATTACATCATTTCGATTAAAATGCGATTAAGTAAAAGTGTTAATTTCCTCATGGGCGTTGATTTTTAAATCGTTTGAATGTCATCTTTATTATGAATAACTGAAAATGTTTGAATTTATATGCTGCATAACTACTTAAAAAAAAAAACAATTGTATTTTACTTTTAATTTAATTTGTTGTTAAACGAACCAAGGTTTTCTTAAATTAACTTTACAAGCTGAATAAACCCAGATAAAGTAATAAAACCCTGTAGATCGGACGTCTATATACAATGGCTGCCATATGCACTTTATGGTAAAACTTGCCAAAGTTCGTTGATTGTAAACAATTTATCGTATTAATCCCATAACTTCCTTTCCTGTTTTGTTTTCTTGCCTAACTTAATTTTATAAAACCTAGGTTGCCTTATGCCAACGAAACGAACTGTCTCCTCTGAGTGGTTTTGTTTGTCTTTCGCCGAAATGGAACAATGCCACTTGCTTATGGCCACTTGCCTGCAAATGATTGCGCATCCGCACCGTGTGCCGCAGCGATGACGAATGTCCTGGAAGTGGGTTTTTGTAGATTCAAAAAGTGCACTATTCAGTGAGGTTTCTGGGGTGGCATTCTGGGATGGCATTCAACACATATATCTGGATTATGTGACACCAGACTTGACCTCCTGCTCCTGCCGCCTTTTGCCAACGGACTATTATAAAGCCAACATACTATGTATACACACAGCCCATGATGTGACCTGCCACTAGGCGATTTATGTTTTCGGCTGGAGGCACTATAGCAGTAGTCCCACAGAACCTAAACCCCCCCCTCATAGGGGTCGTAAAATTTATGAGCAATGCGTGAATGTGTTAAAATTTATGCCTGCTGCTGTGGGCGAGCTGCTGTTATACGAGCATATCCTTCTGGGGTGCGAAAAATGGTGCGGGGTCTTGTTTATTTGGGCATCCATCAAGCGAGGGTTGCGATTTGGCCTGATTTTTGGAGTTCATTTCAACCGGACGGACGGACGTCTCCTCTAATGATTATCCCACTTCGAGGGTTTCACTTGAGCTGCCGAGCGAATCCATTTCATTAGTTCCATTCGCCGTTTTTGTTCCGTGTTCTCTGGGTTTTTTTGTGTTCTGGCCTCCGTATCTGTTGTATGATTGCATTGTACATAAATCGATTGGAAGACGCCTGATGGCGGATGCCAGATGAAATATGCTATATGCTGCACAAACAAAAATAAATCTGCTAAATCGAATACATTGAATTCTCCTTAGTTTTCTTCTCGTACTTATCTAAAGCGCTTTGGTTAGTTAAACTAATATTGACAATAAATGACAATCTATTTCCAACTAATGTGCCAGAGTTAATCTGCATATATTTTTCTAGTTTTGTCCTGGAGTTTAAATATAAATTCAGGAATTTTCAAACTAATATTGAATATGAGATGCATTAATTACACTTTGCTGTTGTCAGTGCAACGCCATATGAAGTGCTCCCTCATTTTTCGCCAAGGACACAGCGTCGAATGTCGAAAGTCGAACGTCGATTCGAGGCGAGTCGAGAGTCACAGTTCAGTTGGCTTCAGTGGGCTTGCAATCTCTGCCTGACTGACTCCATTTGTAGCATATATCCCGCATTGTGCTTGCATTCATAAGGTATATACTATATATACAGTAAGGTGTGCCACGCCCATTACAAACCCATCCATCCAACAACCGCCCCCTGCTGTTCGTTTTTATGAACAAGAGCATTTCAATTCACGCGCAGCGGAAGTGCCAGCGAAATTGAATCGCAGCCTGTAATTTCCGCTGCAGTCAGCTGGATGATGATGATCATGATGAAGATGTTGATGATGATGCTGGCCAGGTGTTCCTGGAGAAACAGCAGACTGGCATCCAGGATTTCGGATCTGGGAACCAGGACCCTCAGGAATGTCAGCCAGTTGTCGCCCTTTGAAAATATTGAAAAGCAACTAAATGCTGCTGGCGCCCTGTTGCAGCCCATTAGAGACGGTTATTTAAAATTAAAACCCCTCCTCCACGGGGAACTGAACTGAACTGAAGTGAACTGAAACTGCTGAAAGTCCTGCCACAGGATAAGCCAGCATGAGTACCTGCTCCTTTGTGACCCCTCCTGGCCACAAACAGTTTTATTCACTTAATGAAGCCAGTGTGGAAAGTGAGTGCACTGATAAAAATATTTGCACCCATTATCATGCACAGGAAAATCAGTCGAGGGTGCATACAATTTAACAATGTCTTTTGCTTGAACATAAATAAAAAGCGCTTGAAGTTAACTGCAATTCTATTTAAGATTTACAAAACTAATTAATTATTGTTCAAAAATATAAAAAAAAAATTAAATAAATCAGTAACAAAGTATTGTTTTGATAACATTATCGATTGCAGTTCCATCTTAGTATTATTCAAATTAACATTGAAATTTTATTAAGCGATACTATTATCAGCGGTGTGGCTAAAAATACGGTGCTGGCTAAGGTGTAAAACAATCGAAAGTATCGATATTGCTATCGATTGTGTTGCCAACGCCGTTTTAAGTGACTTCATACGATTGGAGCTTTTCGAAGCCCCCTATCTAGTTTTAAGTGCACTCAATTATTTAGGAAAAAATACAATCCGTTTTGAAGTGCAGCAGGCTTACCTCATAGGAACCGGCGGTGTCCAGGATATCGAGGGTGAGACTGACGCCGGCAATGGAGAAGTTGCCCTGGTGCATCTCCTCGATGGTCCGCTTGTATTTGGTGCTGAATGTGTTGTACAAAAACTGGGTGATTATCGACGTTTTGCCCACTTTAGCAGAGCCCATAACGACGATTTTGTGGCGGGCATTCGCCGGTCCAATAGCATCGTCCACCGCATTGTTCCTGCCCACTCTGCGTATGCAAGATTTTCGGTGCCGGAGTGGGAAGGCGACGCAAGGTGGAAAAACGTGAAACATGAAACATAAAACGTGACTTGAGTGAGTTAAGTTCGGTGCAATTCAATTAAATCCCAGGCTTCGCCAAGTCTTTCCCCTCATTTTGATGCATGATTTAATAACAAAAATTTCCATTCCCCACCACCGATTTCAGTCGGTTTGCTTAATCCCCATGGGCGACTCATTAAAGCTGTGCGCTACATTTAAAATTAATCATTACGGCAACATCACAAAGCGTCAACTACGAAAGTAGAGCAAACAAAGGGACCTCACTTTATAAGCAGTACGGTATATATACTCTACAGCACATAGTGCAGGTGTTTGCAAATTAATTGAGAATCGGGGGAATATAATATATTTGTCTTTGCAGCGATGTCAGCTTAAAGGATTGATAAAATGGCAATGGATTTGGACAAAAAAAAAAGATGGATGACTAAAAATAATTTAAAAGGCGATTGTTTTAAATATATTTCATTTAAATTAATCCATCTAAAAGTATTACATTTTAAAATGTATTCGAATCCTATTTAATTTAATCTTTTTAAAAGCTGTAAATTGCAACTGCAATATATGTTAAATGTTAAAAAGTACTGCATATAAAGGCTGATGACATGGTTACAACTCATTTACGTGTTTTCCCAGGATTGAGTTTTCCTTTAAGTTTTGTTTCATTCTAACTTTTAAAGTTGCTGTCCAATACATTATTCAGATTTATAGAGATCTGATGTAAGATAAAATACAAGTTTACCAATTTTAGATATGATAGATGATATTATAGTCGATACCCGTTACGTTGTTAACCAAATTCAAAGCAAATATGCCAGAGGCAGATGAAAAACACACATGAAGACGGTTCAGATTGCTTACAGTGTTTACCTTTAATTTCTTAATTGCATCTGAATTAAATAATGAATTGATGAATTTGGATAATTTTATGTGTCGATAGATATAACTAGACTCAAACATGTTGCTACAAAAGTTTCGCGACTTGAAATAAGCTAAATCGAACTATGTGAAAACGGAACCATAAAAATACAAATATGAAGTAAATGCCTTAACATTGTACAAATACTAATTGCCAAGATGTTAACAGAAATTGTGGGGAAAGTGCTGGCGAACTCCTTCGTAATTTAACTGTCTGTTTTTGAAATGTTGAAATGCCATATGTGTTGAAAGAAGAAACTTCGTTATCTCGGCGGCTGTTTGCTGCTGGTTGACAGCGAAAGTGAACAGGAAATATTCCGGGCGGCGAACACGGCACATCTGCGATGAAATCCAATGCCATTTCCGGCTGGACAATGGCCACAAAGCCGCAGAATCCGAGGATGACAGCTCCTCCTTCGTCCTGCGAGACGATAAATCAGGAAGGTCCAAGGGAAAAAAGGACGATTCGAAGTAGCAGAAGTGGTATAATTGTCCAACGTAAGACGGCAAACCAACAACAACGGATCAAATTCGACTTTAATAAGCGCGATTCTGTCGTGTCGTGTCTTGTTTTTTTTTTTTTGGTTTTTATTGTTTTTTCTTTTTTGGCACCTTCCCGGCATTCTATAAATATTTTCCGAGTGGAGGGAAAGGAAAAACAAAAAGGAAAAATGTAATCAAAGGCCGGTAGAAGATGAATTTCTTGTCCTGACAGGCAAAACAAAGGAAAAGTATGCAAACTACGGACGGACAGGAAAAAGCCGTTTCCCTTTTCCCATTTTCCCCTTTGTCAGTCAAGCTGCTTAAAGTTTCCATCTCTTATTTGGGTCCTTTGAACTTGATGAAGAAATGAAAATGTTTGCCCCAAAAGTAAAATCAAGATTCCAATGGCCAATGGCAGTTAAAATATGAGTTTGCCATCTCATCTGACCGACCATATTCCATATCCTTGGCATTTTTCCCGATAAGCTTCAGCTTGGAATTTTTGCACTCGCCCCCCCTCGTTTTTTCGCATTTATTGCAAAAATTCTTTTGCAATTATTGCGGGCAGAGGCTGAAGTTTGGGGACGCCTCAACTTTGTGACACTTTGACTGGTTAACTTGGGTTAACTTTCAGCTGGATTTCTGCGAGCGCGCTTCCCTTGGATTTCGGAACGCAATCCCCTACTCAACTTACACGTGTCTGCCATTTGTCACCCTGTAATGCCACCCACATATTTATAGTCGTCTGAATTGGCTTTCGCATTGAGTTTAATATGGATTTGTGGGTGGTATTACTGGTTAAATTGCATTGCATTAGGGCGGGCAATTTATTTCAGACATCCCGCACATCATACGAGCATTTATTTGTCCTAGAACATTTTAGTACCAAGGTCATAAACATTGCAATTATGAGTTTAGAATACCTCTGTGCTATGGTGACTAATTTTATTAGTCACTAACACGTTTAGAAAAATTTGAATTTTTCATTTTAAATTATTTGCTAGTATATCGAACATTTATATTGTTCTCATTGTCTATGTAGAATATAGACTACTTTTTAACTGCTCTAACATTCTATTTCATTTTAATAAACTTTTTAAAGCTCAAACTTTAACTAGCTTGGAGCGTCTGAAGATTTTCTCGTTTTTTTAATACTTTTGATAATACAAAAAACAAATTATTTCATTTTTTTCAGTGGTGGGGCAATTTAAATAATCTTTCAGTGGTAAAATCGTAACAATTTGGTAAAACTATATGTGAGTAACTGAAGATTTTAGGTATGCAACCTCTGCGCGTTGCAGCGCACTTTTATAAACCATAAATATTGGCGTGCCTGGCTTACCTCTTCTTTTTATCCACCATTTTCCCTGCGCTTTTATAACCAGGTGAGAGATGTAAAACCCCAGTACATATGCTACTTTTTAGCCGTTTTTTTTCGGAGGGAGTGGGGTGTTGGGGACTTACGCAGCCATAACTTACTTGTCACGCTTTGGTTTATCCTCGGCATTGTCATCCTTCATGAACGAGGGCTGCAGGCTGAAGCGGCGACGCAAGTGACGGCCACGCATCCTGCAATCCTTTGGATCCCTGGGTGTCCTTGTGGTGTAAGACTACTGGTAAATCAATGCCCCTCGCTTATCGTTCAGTGCTTTCTTTTTTCTTCGACTCGTTCGGCGGGCTGTGACGTTTTATTGTCAGCAGTCAGTGTAAGTGGAGCAGTAACTGTAGCAGTAACTGTAGCGGTAACTGTAGCGGTAACTGTAGCGCTAACTGGCAAACTGTTATGGCCACGTTAACGGGCGGTAGTTGGGCTCCCTCTTTTTCCTTTGTTCCTTCGTTCCCCAGTCCTCAGTCCTTTTGTCCTTAGTTTATTATTAGCACCGCCAGCGATTCTTCCTTTCCGCCGCCACAGGAAAATGCAAATATTTGCTCTTATTTCACGAGTCTTACGTTTCGTTTTAATTACGTGACTCGATGATGATAATTTCCCTGGCAAATTCTCCTGTTTACCTGCAAATGGAAAATGTTGCTGGATGAGAGACAAAAAAGCCATAAATTACAAGCCACCTGCTTATCTTACTACTGCTGGGTGTCAGTATTTGATAATTGAAATTAAAGCGAGAACCGTTTGCCCAAAAGAAAAACAATAAATACCAACACGCAAAAAGGGGGCGAGGCTTTAGCCCCATCGGACTGTCGCAGGTTTAATTTCTGCGTAAAGAAAATAAATACCATCAAAGAAATTGCATGGAAACAAAGTATAAATTTTGAGCTAAGTGCTTTTGAATTTTTTTGTAAATAAAAGCTTTGATTGGTCATTTAGAAACATGCTTGGATATAATTAACAGGCAACTAAAATAATAAGTACATCATTTTAGACCTCTAATTTAAAATGAAAAACTTTGTAAATCCGCTTTATAAAGCTAATTTTGTAACGAGTGCTAGCTTACATTAAGTTTAATAATAGCTAAAAACTAAATTGTTATTTTGATTTAAGCTATATTTTCATTCTGTTTTTTACCTCAATATATTTTTAGTTATATTTTAACAATTTATATTTATTTATATCTTAGTGTTCTGGAATGCCCCATTTTTGTGAACCTTTCAGGGCATTTAAGAAAAAGTTAAACTTTCTCCAAGCTGGTGAAACTCGGGCTAATTAAACAGATTTATGTGGGGCGTGGCAGTTGAAAACCCTTAGCCACTGCCTTTCTACGGCTTTCTACTGCTTTCTTCGCGTGCAGTGCTCACTAAATGCGCTGCTACTTATTTTAATTTTATGGGTATTTTTGTAGCAGCTTCTGCTCTTCCTTAACTTAGTTTATGTTAACAAAAGCAGAGCGAAGAACGTGGCTGACATTAATTGGACTTTAATGGAGTAAAAGTACAGGTCCCTGAGTTTAAAGTTGCCCCCTTGTTGTTGCATACTTCTGTGCGGTCCCCAAAAACATACAGAGAAATAAACCAACTAGATATTTGTAAATATTATAAAACAAAAATGATTATCCTAAATAAAAAAAAAATTCGTTACCTCTATTATTTTGGTATTGTATCACACTAACATTATATTATCATTATATCAAGCTTATATTTTGATATGTATCATATAAAACTTATCAACATGACTTTCATATCATACTCCTTTTTTTCTTTCTGTTTAGGATGCAAAAGAGACGAGTGCCTGTTCAAATGCATTTCAAGCGATTAAATGTTACTTGAAGTGCAACTTAATCTGTTCCAGCTTACACACATATGTAAATGCGAGAAAGGCTCTGAAATAAAATGCGAAATTTGATCTGTTTCTGGAAAAGCTTTCCTTTGTGAAGTGTAGTATTTGGCACAATGTGCAACAAGCTGCAATTGCAAAAGCACAAGTTGCAAGGAAGTGGAGGAAATCGCTGGAAAATGCCTTGAAATCACTCAGCATTCAGAGCAGGAAACCCGGGAAAAGCAGGAAAAGCTGATGCGCCGGCGAGACCGAAGAGCAGACGAAAACCAACTCAATTGTTGAGCATTATCCATATTATGGCCCTCGAAATGGATCAACGCTAGCCGGAAAGGCAGCAGCCAAAAAGGATGATTTGAGAGAAAAATGTTCTTTTTGCTAAAAAATAAACAAGAAAAAAGAAAATTCATTTACGTATGCTGTGAGTAATCTTAAAACTAATTTTATCATCGAAATAATTTGCTGACTTGTACAAATGGTAATAATAATTTCGTCCAGTTTCGTACACTGGAATTTATTAATTCTATTAATCGAAATTTTTACAGGTTTATAAATCTGTAAAAGACTTACAGTACATTAACTATATTATGTTATCACAAATTATTTTTTACGAGAATCCTATGATCGTTACAACTTTGTTAGGTGTTTTCCATTAAATCTGTATTTTGCCAATGTTCTTTGTTAATTTATTAAGCGCTTTCTTTGCCTACTTTTGGGGGCATTTAAGATTCACTTTTGCTAAGCTCCTTTGCGTCTGATTTTTTCTGCAAAAGACTGAAGACTGAAAGGCGCTTAAGCAAGTCAAACTTTGGCAGCTTTGTGTTTCTCATTTTTTTTTTTTTATTGTGGAGTGTGTGTGCAGCGGGTCTTAAGACCAGTTGATCCGAACTGCCAGTAAAACTTTGGTTGCGGCTTAGGAGCCCGAAAATTTGCTCAAGTTAAACGAGTTGCGGCATATTGACTGCAGTCAGCTGAATAAATGGATTATCCTAGAAAAGGCAAGGGAGGCGGCGGAGGAAAGGTGGTTTCTGGGCGGTGAGGGGCTGAGCAAATTGGCTGCGGTTCTTCTGATTTGTCTTGGGCTTTCCCTAGCTCTTCTCTTTGCCAAATTAAATTCGTCTAAATTGTAACTGGTTTTCAATATTTTCTTATTATTACCACTCAGACAGAGTTTGTGGTCAAACTGAAAAGCAGTGGAAAAAATGCAACTTTCAATTGCACTTGAACAATTCGATTTGCATAAAGTTTAGTGCAAGTCAACGAAATTGCCAATGTAATGTTGGAAAAATGGGAAAAGTGGGGAGAAAAGGGGGCGACAAAAAATAGGGAGTCTGAGCTCCAGTTTCCGAGAACATTAAATGGGGAATAAAAATCTTGTTGAACTATTTGTGAATCGATTGGTATGCCAATTCTCTTATGAAGGATGCAACTTTAGTAATCATTTTTCACAATCTCCATTCGCATGCCACTCAATTTTCATATGAGCTTAAATAAATATTTGTTTCGAAATGCTATTGTGATCCAATAACCACTAAAAACACTAGACAAGATTTAAAATTGTTATTGGGGAGGAAACATAAAGTCAAACTATAAGACTTTTTATAGAAATATATATATATTATATATTATATTATCTAATAATATTTTTTCCATTAATAAGAAGTCTTAAAAAAATATAATAATAGAACAGAAAATAACTATAAATATATCTAGTTGAGGGGTATTTTCGCAATTCAAACGTATGCACTACCTGTTCTTCCTTTTTATTTGTTTTTACTTCCTTCGCTGCTTATTTTATTATCTGGAACATTTTCTGGTTTTCATTCAATGCAATTTATGAATAAACACAACGATAATAATAATAATAATAAATCATTGATTGAATACTGTTGGGGGGAATCGTAAAACGTATTTCGAAATAAATAATCATGAAACGTACAGCACATAAAAAGAAATGAATTGAAATGCTGAAATGTGCCGGGGAAGGGGAATTCGATATTTTTTGCTAAAGTGGAAATTGGGATCTTTCGAGGATTGGACAATCAAACGGAATTATGCACTTGACTTATGTTGCAAAACTGGTTGGGAAAACTCTGTCGTTATCTTGCCAGAATTTCCATGAAATTTATAAAATGCAAAAACGTTCGGTTGTGGTCATAGATTTCTTGGTCTCTTCATGCAATTTGTGTGTCGGTGGTGCTGCTCGTATGGGCCAGATTAGCACCGCCCCCCAACTGTTCCAACTGTCCCTACGTAGCTAAGTTACCTACCGGTGTTTGCTTGTGCCTTTATGTGGTGGGTGATGTTCGTGACTGGCCCTGAATGCACTGGCTCACCTGCTCACCTGCTTACCTACTCACCAGGTAAAAAGCAACCCACCAACCGCCCGAGCATTCAGCCAGGTGCAGCACTAAAATTGAAAAGCATAAATACTTGTGTACATGTACTATAAACATAAAGCTCCCCAGTACATAGAAAAGGGCTCTATGGGTGGCTCTATGGGTGGGTGGTGGTCCTGCACAAAAAGCGCTACCAAATGTTGAATATCCTCCTGTTTTCCCACACAACCTACATCCACTCCCAATTTTTACCTCATTTCTGTCGCTTGATAGAGATCATGTGCTGTTTAATTTTGGTGGTTTTCAGAGGGGTCTTTAAAATTGGGCGGAATAGATTGAAGTTTAATTAACATATTGTTATCCCTTAAAACTTTTTAAAATACTTATAATTGTAAATTTAATAACAAATTTAAGTCTATCGATAGGTTTTGATTGTCGATAAGTTAGTGATCGAATTTACCGATTGTTAAAAGAAAACGGTTAAAACCTATAAATTTTATCTGATGAACTTGAAGAAGCAGAAATAATCAAGGTCATTGGACACTTTAAAAAGTAAAAGCCTAATAAGGACATCATTTCATATCAGAACAAAGGACGGCAACAATTGGCAACGCAACAGGCAACAGGAAACAACAGCAACAATGTCCACAACAAACAACTGAAAAACAACTGAATTCTTATGGGGCTGGTCCCCCTCAAAATAAATTTTCTTTTCCTCTGTGTTTGAGCTTTCGGTCGGGCAGAATGCTAATGAATTGCGGGAGGTCGGGGGCCTTACAGTTTTATATAAAGTAGGCTGTGGAAATCTGATGAAAAACAAATAAACAATCAGAGCCAAGGAAAGCAAGGCAAGGCGAAATGAAATGAAATGTCACAACAGAAACAAAGGAAGGTTGGGTATTTTTCGGTTAAGGATGAGCATCAAAAGACAAATAAATGACGAAGCAATGAAGGCAATGAAGAATGGGCTTTGAAAATAGATTTTTTTTCTGGTTTATTGACTGACTGATTTTTTGCTTATAAATAGAGCCTCGCAACGGACTTTAAATCCCCCAAAATCTCAACTAGCTGGATTAGAAAGACAACGACCAGGCAAAAACAAATAAATTTCAAATTCAGAATGGAATTAAACAAAAATAAGAGCAAGTGGTAGATGAAACTGGAAACCAGTAGAAAAATATGATTGAAGTTTAAATTTCAAGGAGAAGGCCAATTTACCTTAATTGTTGGGTTAAAAATGTATTTAGAATATTTTTATTGCACTTCTAAGAGCACTGAAAAAAGATAGCAGGAAATTGTATATCTAAAAGAGGGTAACAACATTTTAAAAAGTAAAACAAAGAAACATTTTTGTAGCACTAAATAAAATTAAAGTTGTATTAAGCGTTTTACTGCTCAACTAATTTTTTCTGTGTAGAGAATAAAAAAAATATTTAAGGGATACTAGGAAAAACCCTCTCCATGATTGTGATTTTGTATTTTATATTTTAAGCAGTTATTTCTTTTCTTTCCAAATATTGAAGGAAAGAAGTTAAGATTTTTGCAAATTAACTTAGTTTTAGAATTTCCAAGACCTCCTTAATCTACGACGGCTTACCTCGAACCACCCGATAAACTAAGCCCTGTAATCAGACCGCATTGAACATTAAACCCAACTCTTTGTGGCATTTCGAATTCCCATTGCCCATTGAGCAAACTTTGTCTAAATTGATTTGAATATTTATGAAAGCGGGTGGGTGGCAAAAGACACTCACTTTGATATGTCACAATCACAATCACCAGTTGTTCAAGTGATTCTGGTTGCATATATAGGTAAAAGGGTTTGGGTTATTCGGTTTGGGGCTTTCAGATCGGCTTAATCGCAAAGCCGCAGCCAAAACGAGGGCTCAAGTAATTATAAATGCCATTTTGTGTCGGTTTTGTTTAGCATGAAGAGATAAGAGAGCGCTTTTTGGGTGGTTGTGTTCTGTGGGGTTAACGTGGGACATGCATATTTATCATTCATGTGTAGGCACAAATTTGTGTCTGTCTCATGAATGACACGAAAAAGGCAATTTAAGCAAACACACACACACACACACACATTTATAAGCAAGAAACAAAGGGGTGAAAATGGGAGGCGTCTTCGCCGCAGGCATTACAAAAATTTCACACACACTCGACACAGCAAAAAATACATAAATAAAGAAGAAAACAGAGCACCCGCACTGTCAACAAGCAACAGCTACCTACAACAAATAAAAGAACAACACATAGAGTACCAACAAAGAGAAATAAAAGTAACAACCATTTGGAAAAAAGCAACAAATATTGCTGGTTCTTATCATTGGTTACAAGAATCGGGCCAAAAAGCGTATAGAACTGAAACTGAACTGAACTGAATACACAGAAAAGAATACAGTCATAAGCCGAATATAAGCAAACGATAGATTCCTTTTAAAACTTAAAATATATTTATGCTTATATAAATCAAATCATATAGATTTGACGGTCATACATTTTAAATTTAGTAATAATTATGCAAATGTTGTTTCCCAGATAAATTTCGAGGCTTAAAATAAATTTTTTTTCATAGATCATGGGATTTGAATGAGAGGTTTTTTTTAAAAAGGTTAAATCAAAAGCTCTTAAAAATTTGATACGATAAACTTTCTACAAATTCCTTGCCGTTTACATTTTTCTCGCAGTGCAACCAACTGAAGTCAGAGTTTGTGAATTTTGAGGCTGGGGACATTTTCGACGAGGAAAAGCCAATGACCCAAAGCAGCCAAATGACATGCCGGCACACAAGAGCTCCTTATCAGCCATGGGCCATGTATGTGAGTGTGGAAATGGTGCTTGTTGCTCGGCACAGTGGGACAAAATATGAGACTTGGCTTTAAATCTGTTTAGTTTACTCTTACTTTAGTTCCCAACGAAAGCAAATATTGTTATGGCTTACTAATAAAAGGAAATTTAATAATTATATTTTGTAAATGTGTTTACACTAGGTACTTTGTTTGTCTTTTCTTAAAAAGTAATCCAAAAGTAAGTTTTCATTTTATTTTGAAACTTTGGGATTAAATACCGGCATGTTTGAAATGCTTTGGGTTATACTTAAGCACAAATGTAAAAAAAAGCTAAAGTTCCTGACATCTTAGGACTTCTTTTTCAGTTGCTTAAGGACGAAAAGGACTTAGTGTACGGAAAAAGTTGTCTTTTGTTTTTTGCAAAAGTTGCCGCTCTAGTTTTCCGTTTCCTGAGCTGTCAGTTCGCCGAGCCTCGGCTCTTCAACTTCATCTTTATGCTTGCAACAGATTCAGCTCAAAAACACAAAAAAATAACTACAATAATACCAACAACAACAACGATAGTTGGAAGATATATAACAGTCGACAAGAAAAGCAGCAACAATGACGACGACAATTTGTGAGGATTTTTATAGACAAGCGTCTTGGTGGGAAATTATGGTTCGGCCTCTTATGCGTATATACATGTATATATACACTGAGGAAACTGGGGATGGGTTTTATTTTATACTTTAATAATGTATTAGTAGGGTCTTTGCATGGAGCTCAAAATAAAATATTCTTAAATGATTTTATAAAATATATAATACAAAAAAATAATTATGTGTCATTTTCATACTATTTTGTACACTTTCTCACATTTTGTTTTCGGTGTATGTTTCATGGAAGTGTGTGCGTGTGATGCGTGCTTGTACTAATGAGACAATTTCCACTAGTTTCGTGTGTGTGCGAGCGTGTTGTCTTGAATTTTATCCCCTAATGAACTGTCCCTCGACTCAGAAGCTGACTTGTTGCTCTCCTCACTCCCATTGGGATATTTGGTCCCCAGCCACGCCCCCCACAGGTCGCTGCGCCCCCTTTTGGGTGTCACATTGTTGTCGTTTCAATTAGTGTTTCAGTTTCAGAGCGACCTTATCAATGTCGAAGGGGAATTGGATTCGGGATTGTAATATCTCAATGAATAACTTGATTTGCGATAAGCGAGATAGGGGAAAATTGCAATCGTATAAATCAGCTACAGCACGACTCAAAATGTTTAATGCGAATAATAAATTGCATTTTTGCAGCTTAAATTGAGTTAAGTTAGAGAGGCTTACTAAATAAAACTAACTTCTTTTATTATATACTGCAGGTTTGATTAAAAACTCAATCAAAGCAAAAATATATTCAAAATGAAATAAAATAATGCTTAAAAATTGATATATATAAATATAAATAAAATATATAGAAATCTATAACTACTTTTACTAGGCTGGACTTACTAAGAGCACTAGTTAAATTTGAAAGACACATATATAGTTTTTTGTATATTGTGTGAAATTACATTAATCAATTTATTTTCGTTGGTGTTTAATATTAATTTAATTGTTTATTTAGAATTTTTTTTAGGTTTCTTTCTTTTCGTACTTTACATGTTTCATAAAAGTATTTTTTTAACCAATTATAGACACAAAGTTTTATGTGAACATGTGTTCATAAAATCTTGCTGGATGTTTCTATTGACGTTACCGTAACGCACTGTTTCACCGCAAATCCAGGAAAATCATTCGGCGAATTCGCGCTGAGCTCCCCTAATCCCGCCATTCACTCGAATACTCATGGATATCCGTAAAGTGGAGTTACCAATCCAGCGGGGAGTTAATCTGCATCGCAGTCATAGCAATGAGTGAGCGATTACACACGAGACAGATAAGAGATCTCTTTCTGCTGATTGGAATTCCAATGTGTCTAAGACAAGAGACCATTAAATTGGATCAACAGAGGTCGTAAAGCTGGCCATTAACCAATCCAAAATTTGCTCTTTGGTGTCGCCGGCGAGGGGATTCCCAAAAAAAAGCAGTCGCCAGCAGCAAAAAAAAATATTTATATTAGAGAGAAGGAGCCCTGACATTGATGAGTAATAAGTGCAATAATCGGCAGTGTGTGGCCATGACAATGGTTACACTAGCTGACAACAGAGCCGTTTATCTGTGCGTAGAATAAACATTTTATCGCATTATCGATTGCGATTACTCAGTTAATGAATTAAACATACACACACACACACAAACACACATTGAGCATATATATTAAACTCCTTCGGTTCAGTTTGGTCAAAAAAGAATCCCATTCAAGCAAAAAGCTGCGACAAGTGCGATAAGAAGTTAGCCAATAATGGCATAATAATAAATCATCACTGGGGCACACAAAAAAAAAAAAAAAAATAAAATACAGCAAGTAAAACTGAGCTAAAAGTTTGCACATAAAATGCCTCACGTCCAACGCGTCGTATGCGCAATGTCATCCAGCTAGTATAATTTACGATATCGAAATATCAGAGCGGGGATTCATGGCAAAAAAAAAAACAAAAAACTTCATTGAATTAATTATGACAAGCGATGAGTTTATTTATGATCAATGTAGATTACAAATGAATTATCGTTTGCCGAATTGGATCGATGATAATGTTGCGGTAGCCAGCTAATATTGGTGGAAAATATTTTTAGCATTTGCATAAAGCTTAATATTAAAAACAATTTCCTGCCTTATTAATTGCTTGTTCTTAAAACCTGTACTCATTTAAATATATTTTTAAAATAAATGTTAATAATAAATATTTTACAATACAAAGGTACAACCTTAGCAAAATATATTCCAAATATTGGTCAGCAAAAAAATAATAAATTGTTGGCAAAAGAATCAGACAATGTTAAAAAGGTTGTAATTGATTTTACAAAGGCAATTCCTTATATTAACTAAATATATAATTTAACTTTAATTAAAAATTCCGTGCAAAACTGTCATGAAAGTATAAAATATATTCCATTTATTTAGAAGAAAATTAACTCAAATATAAACTTTTAAAATCATAAATTTTACTAATGTTCTTCGAGTTAATCGAAATTATCACCGAATCTTGTATTTTTGGTACCTGTTCTTCGAAAGGTTTTTTCAAATCAATTTTCAACTTCTTAATTTCTTTGGTAAATCAACTCTTTCAATCAACACTCAGGACACAGAAGCACATGTTAAAAAAAAATAAGATTGTTCACTGTGGGCGAGAAGAACTCGAATCCTCCGCTCGGTTTTTGGCTAGGATGCGGATGCTCTTTTGTTTCTGGCAAAAGTGGACTATTTTGGCTGTGTTGGCTGTTGTTGAGATGGAAAGATTTTGGGGCAGCAGCGATGGAACAACACGCTGCGTCGAGTTCCCGGGAAAAACTGGCAGCGAACCGAGCGTTACACTTGATGCATGCCCGAAATCGAAATCGCACAGCCGAGGAACGACCATAACGAGCCTCGATCCGAACCTGAATCCGGCCAGCCGAAGTGTGCCAAGGTGAGAGAGGTTTTTGGTTGTTGGATGGGTGGTGGGTTGGAAAGTGGGAAAAGAGGTTTTGGGTGGAAAAGCGCCACAAGTGCATGCCGAAAAACGAAGGAAAGCCAGCGACAGCAGAAGTGAGTTTCCATCTCGGCAAAGGAGGAGTCTCGCCTCCTTCAAATGCGAAATACGAAAAGCGGGAAAATCGAATGGCAAAGGAGAGAGCGGGGGAAAAGCGGGTCGAAGAAGCTTTAGCTGAATGCAAAGCTTTTCCCTCCGGAGCTTTCCCGCTGAGCAGATGCAACAGCTACGGAATACAGATGGCATAAGATACATTCAAATGCTGCGGAAAGGTTAACTGCAAACGGTATGACAGATGTAGATGCGAAGATGGAGCCAAATAAATGGCATACATTATTTAGGACAAAAGATTGATTGCAAGCAAAATGATTGCTACAAATGTGGAATGGAAGGAAAAACAGCAGAAAAGATTGATATCAATAAAAGAAACTAACCCGAAATTATGAGATTAAAGGAACGACCTTACCTATAAGGCAGAAATAATAGCACTTTGCATACCATTGGTTAGATTTGAGCATGACTTTAAAGGCTTTACGATTAAATGTAAGACTCTCTAAGCCTTGATCTTTATTTACACACATATTTAAATTTAAATGATTAATTTTTGAGAAAGTTAAGCTCATACAAAGCACATTTTTGGGTCACTTGTAAGTGGATCAGTTGTTAGTTTTGGGTTGAGCTACCTTTAGTTTGAAATTACCTATTTTTAAAAACAATAATTAAATAGAAAACAAGTCATGTATTTTTGTCGTCTTTAACAAATGTAAGCGGGAATATTAACAACGTGAAGAAAGAATACCATGAACAGTACCACAAACTACGTAAATTGGTTACTCCACAATTAAGTTTAAATACAAAGTGAGTTGATGACACAAAGTCGGGGAAAATAAGCCTCCCCTCGAAACATTAAGTGCGTGTGGGTGGGTAACTCCCTGTGGCCTTTGGGTGGTGGCCACACACCTGAAAGGATCTCCACTTCGTAATCCCAGACCACGACATAACAGCCTAGAGGCTCTTCGAGGTCCGCAATGCCAGCGTCATAAATCTGTTTAAATTAGCTGTTAAACAGGTCGTATACGCGATGTGGTTGCACCAGCCACCTTCAGTTGCACTCGTCTGCCAAGTTGGCACACAGAAAGTAAAATAAAATAATAAGGGACATTAGTTTTTATATAAATTTTTCATTTCAAATATATAACGATTTATTATTTTTCATGATTATTTAAAAATTTATTCTTAGTATTTTTCTGTTTTATTTTTTTAATTAATAAATGTTATAGGATGTATACAAATTTATTTCGGTGCAGTTTGCTGACACAGTCTCATGTTGGCGGGATAATAATACCCCATCTTTGCTATTGACATTGTCGTAAGAGGCTTATTCCGGTTCCCAGTTTTCCCACAATTCCTCCGTATACCCCGATGCCCCTTGTGTTTTCCGAGTCCTCTGAGTTCTCTGATTCCTCCGATTTCCCATTCCGGACCAGTCAGCAATAACCGGCGAGATAATTGCCACCTACCAAGGACTCGGCATCTCGGGCAATAATCAAGCAGTTATAAATCCCATGAAAGCCGTTCGATGGCAAGTGGCAGGAAAACATTCAAATTAAGACCGAAACAAAAATGTTCTACCCACAAAGTTGCAGTTTGTGCTGTGGCTAGCGAAAGTTTACCATTTCCCACATCATCTTACGCCCATTTTCCTGAATACCCAGGCCTCACCCCGGAAAACTTTTTAATTTCCATTCGTAATTGTGAGACAGACCATGAAAACGACAATTGAATGTAGCCGCAGCAAAGAGATCGGCAAAGTTCCTCCTGGGCCACTACAAAGTTGCGGCTGCAGTGGTAAATTGGGTGAAAACAGTGGGTGGATAAATGGATAAACAGTGGACATTGCACAACTGAAAAGTGTTTTTTTTAGTAGTATTCAATTGTTTAGGCACAAGCAGCGAATACAAGTAAATTTTAATTTATTGTTAAGTGTTAGCAAAAAGATTAACCAACTTGGAGAAAGGCATAGAATTAAAAATTGATAACTACTTCTCAAGGTACACAGTTTCGATCATGAGCATCTAGCGCCAAACTTGGCATTACTTATGGTAAAATTATGTTACGTGAGATATATTTCACATTTGCACAAGTTTTCGCTTTCCGTTTTGTCAGTACAAGTCTTATTCTACACCATTCATTTCGTATTATAGCTATCTTCGAAGGTTTCTGAACTCAACCTTCCGTTGACACGCTGAAGTAAGGACTTTTCCTCGAGAAAATTTCAATTAAAAATAATCAACATCGGTTGTTCCCGGAAAAATCAGTTTCATTTTTTAAATCTCAATCAGAATTTTAGCAGGCTGCTGTGTTGGTAAATAAAAATACGCTATTATTTCCAGCTATAAACAATGTAGTTTTTCTCCATCTCTCAGCACCTCTTCCATGGGCAACAATCACATCTGTTAACATGCAAATCAATGTTGGCTGCAACATCTGTCGATGTTTCTGTTACTGTTGCCCGTCCTTTGGAATACTTGGTAAGCGGCTTGTATGTGCATGGCATGCAACATTTCCGCTTGGGCGCTTCCAAGTAGAGCCGCCCAAACACACACACACACAAAAAACCAAAGCATCCAACCACCCAATCAACCAACCACCCACTAGCGCCACCGAATGGGTGGTGCCACTCCCCCTTTTGGATAGAACACATTTTTGCCTTAATCCACCCCCGCATCCCGAATAACTGACAGCGCTTAAACAGTTGCAAGGACGTACGAAAATGTCAGTGGCATTTGGCTCGATTCCACGAAAGATAATTAGTTCTAGAGCAAAAAACTAATAGAAGTTTTCATACAAATCGGTTTATACCGTACTATTTCACACATAAATCTTACTGATTCCGCTTGCTAAACATAAATCACTTCTTATTATCAGTTATAAAATTTGAATACAAACACCAGAGATTTATGGGACTCACTCTCAAAACTTGGCCGGAAGTAATAAATTTAAATCGTCAAGTTAACAATTTTCTTATGAAATAGTATTTAATCATTATTGTGTTTTTTTTTATAAATAATGTATTTTTTGCCGCTTTTGGTCGCCTGGCTGATTTTCCATCTGCGACTGGCAAAAGTGTTCCCCTCCCACCTGCTCACATTCCGCATTTGCCGCTTTTTTCCCGCATTTTCCCCGTTTCCCTCGTATTTTCCACTTTTCCCGTCTTTCCCTGTATGTCAGTGTGTCTGTGTGTGTGCAGCATGTAAATGAAGTCTCGCTGCCTGTCTATCCGTCTATACACGCATATCAGCGCACTGGAAACACGTACAAATACACTGAAAAAAAAACAAACAGCTCGACATTAAATATTTTATATTGTTTTCATTTTTAATGAGTTAATAATACCTATATTGATGTTTATATGCATTCACACTTATCTTAAACGATTTTTCTTAACTGAAAACGATTTTAAAAAGACTGAAAAGAGTTTTAAAAGTGTATAATTTTACAGCTCAAACTTTTATTATTTGAAGTCTCTAAAAGTCAAACTAATATAAGTAGCATTAGAATGCATAAAATAGGTAATGTGAGTAACGTTTTTGGGTGTTAAAAACTAATAGAAAATGTGGAAGTCCTTAAGATCTCCCACCATACAAATTTCTGTATACGACACTGGTCTATATCCATTTAATAAATTAAATACCCCTTAATTTCAACTTATTTTGGTGGTTTGAGTTCCACAAGCCTTTTGTTTTCACATTGTATCAGATGAATAAATATTATTTTGACCTGAATTTCTTGCAGTGCACACGTTCAGTTTGAGCCGGAGTCGTTGCCTGATGTATATTAATGCCGTGCGGGTGCCACATGCCAGATGGAAACAGTTCAATCATAATAAACTCCCAGTCAATTTTTAATGATACAAAAAGACAAATGTGCGCGCCCTCTTTTGACCCCTCGTCACCGTTTGCGGGTCAAAGGCCGCGTAAAGCGATATAAATTGTTGCATATGTTTGGGCGCTGACTGAGTCGCCTCGTTTGTTTACATTTTGTTCTCTGTTCTGCGGCAAGTGTGAAACTGCTTTCTCTGCTCGTTATAAACCCATCAGAAATTTGTTCTGCTTGCTTAATTTTATTTTCGTAAATTGAAATCGTTTGTCATAAATCTCAATATTATTGAGAAGATATATGAGTTTTCAGTTACGTACAATTTCTTCTCCTTCAACAGATACAATTTGTATCCTGAAATATAAGTTGTTTAGATAGGATTTTAAGGTAGAAATTTTTTATTTTGTTGATGCTATGAATGAACGAGAAATAAATAATTGAATGCAGATTATAGAACTCTAAGCCACAAATTTCAAGAGGCATTGAACTGGTTAGTTTTTGTTATCCTTTTTTGCCAGTCATCGAAACTTGAAAGAACCTATCATTTAAGACAGATAAAAGGAAAATGGTATCTCTTAACTGACATTTCATATACTTTTATGGCACTCAAACGATTCAATTAAGCCAGGCCTGCTGTTTATTTCAATTGGATCAATTTGATAAGGCCACGACTGACTGATGATTGATCTGGTTGTGATTTAAATGGTCTTGACTGAGCGTTGAATTATTAATGACGTCGTCGGATTACGTTGGTATACCCAATATCCCGACTTTTCAGCCAAAACAGCTGGCCGTTTTAAGGTCTCGACTCGGCTGTATTTTGTTTGCCTTACAATAATTTTATGTGGCGCACATAAAAATTTTCGTTTCAGCTCGTTAGCCATGGCGTATACGCAACGCGAGGTGAGCTGAATGAAAAAAAAAATGT